GAGTCTGGTTTTTATAAATTATTTTTCTCTTCAGACATTTAGCAATAGCTCACCGTGGTACATGAAGATTAAGAAAATATGTTCCTGCTTTGGGAATCAAAATTATGCATCTGGGTTTTTTTAATTCTTTTTTTTTTTTTTAATTCTGTTGCAGTCAGAGAGGTTAAATTACAATTATTTCAATGGACTTAGGAAGTTATAAGCTTTTAATATTTATTTAAATAATGAATTTTCTGTAATTATCCAATAAAGCAATGGAAATACAAATATATTTTAAGTTTGCCTGATTGAGTTGGAGGGGGTAGAAAGAGGAGCAATACTGGTTTTGTTAATTGGTAACAGGATTAGTAAATTATACTTTTAAGAAAAAAATACATTTAGCGTTTCTTACTAATTCATAGTCTTTGTTGTGCTTGACACTTAATGTTTTCAAAAAATTATTTTAGAAAGCAGTGGCATGATATAATCATAGGTAAAACAAATTTAACTTTGGAGGAAATGTTTATTGGTATGCATTTGCATTTATACCTATAGCGTAAGACTAATAATCTATTATTCACAAGCAGATTTCAGATAACTAGTGTGCAAGCACAGCAAAATAAACTAAAACAGAATTACCAGGGAAAATAAGTTTAAAAATGGAAGTGAAATATTTCAGAAGGTGGTAAGATTAGAATAAAAAATATTCATCTTTCTATGTGAAGCTCTGCAGTAGTCTTCTGAAGGATGTCACAGTGTTGGCATGTAAACCTGAACGTCTGAAGGACACTAGGACCCTTGTCATCATTATTTTGTCTCTATAAATAATTATGTTATGTAATATTTACAATTAAATTTTATTTTTGTAGCAGAGATTTATCTTGGAGGCGGCAGTCTAGCTTCTAAATAGAACACTCAACACAAAAGTTTCTTGCTGACTATAAACTGAGAATTGCTTATGTGCCTTAAGAGGAAGTCAGTAACGGTATAGTCAGGATGATGACCAGCTTGCAGAGTTTGGTGCTGAGATCTGAAGGCTGAAGAACTTTGACAACAATGGTGCAGGCAGTGCCTCTGTCATTACTTTCCAAATTGCATGGCATTTCACTCTCACTGGAATTCACCCATATGCCCACCTGCACAAGTGATTGCCTAAATACTTTTACAAATCCAGCGAGGAGTCAGGATTCCAGGGAACAGTCCTGGAATACAAATGTACACACGTAAGTGTCTACATAAATGGTGTATAGACACATAGTGCTTATAATGCATAACTATATGTACATGCATAATAAGTATACACCTCAATAGTTGGGTTGAGATGCAGTTTTACCATCTGGTGAGCTGATTTTAGCAGCTACTTATCTGGCACTACAGTTTTATTTTTTCATCTTAACTCATGTGTTCTAGTAATCCTTCCAACAGATCTTAACTTTGACAAAAACAGATCTATTAATGCATTGGTTTCTGGTAGAAAACCAGACTTTCTTGAAATTGATGTTGTGGATTTTGTTTATTATTATTCTGTTTATTGTTCTTACAAAATAAAAATAACACAAAATACAGTATCTATTTCTTAATTTGCATCCTGGGAATTTATGCTCACAACTTCAGTTATCACTGACAGAGGGACTAAAAAATCTCCCCAGTGAAGATAAACAGTTCAAAGGAAGTCTACTTACACATCTCTTCCTGGTTTTATCTTTACAGGTGACCCAGCTGGATCCAAATAAATCATTACTGGAGGTAAAACTGTATCCTCAAGAAACCCTTTTCCTAGAGGCAAAAGAATAGATCAAACAAGATTGTAGGACTAATCATCCTTTGAAAAGCCAGAGGTGCAGCATTGAAAGGAAGACTTCTATCAACGCCACCTTGTACTATCATCCAACTCAATCCAACGTCACAACTTTGCCTCTTGCAAAAATCCTGAAAAACTGAAAAAACATAGCTACTTAAAGTTTCACATACATGAGTATATGTTTCCAACCTCATTTAAATGAGCAGAAGATAAAATTCTGCTATGAACACTGAACATTATGACTCTGTTGCTCACTTATCATCTAGCTTTTGTTATAATTAATGCACTGTTAAAATGTGAGTGATTGTTAAGTAGAATTTTTACTCCTCAAATGCCCCTTTTTCACCAAGAAATCTTGGACATTTCTGCCTGTACTTTTGACACTAGAATGCTGTATATTTGATATCTCGCTGAGCCAGTGCTCTCACATATATATGCATTTTATTTCTGTGTTTGGATTTCTACTTTGTCAACTAATTTAAAAAGGCAGAAAAAATTAACGGGACATGCTCAGCCATGGAAATTTAACAGTATTATAGTAGAAAGCATATAATTTTTGTTAGTACTTTCTGACTTCTTTGATAAGATGTAAGGTTTTGTTTGAAGAATATAGTTTGACATATATGCGAGATATTTATTTACTGGTTCTGCTTTGGGTCTCAGTTCTGATTCAGTTTAGGAAGTATTTTCCATTACATTGCAGTGTGTGAAACTGCTTTATTGCATGATGTGAATATTTAAATAACATTAGAAATGGCCAGTACCAGAAACCTGGTATCTTGCCAATGCTTCAGGAATCAGCTGATATTGAATATCAGCTGTTAAAAACCTTTCAAATACCAGATACAAAAGTTCTTTATTTCTCATTGTGAAAGAAAGGGCAGTTCCCATTTTAGCAGTTTTCCTTCATTCTGGCACTTGTTTGTATCTTATTACTCTGCTGTTTTAAAGCACCTTGTTTGTTTCATCAAACAATGAGTATCTTAAGAGGTGGTGTAATAAGAAATCTGCCTTATTATTGCACACTTTGGACATTTTAACAATAGATTACTGATCCCATCTCAAATTAAAGAAATCCTAGTTCTCTTGTCTGAAATGTACGCACCAACTACCTGTTATCTGATGTGGAAAAATCTGGTACTTTAAATTTCTCAACCGTAGAATGAGCATACTGAGTGTAAGATCATAACATACACTTGATGCCAAACCTGCATCAAAACTGGTTTGGTTAATTTTTTTTGCTTTTTTTTTTTTTTTAAATCTCTAGGCTTACAGCTAGTGCACAATGGCACAACAGAATTGTCATCTGATAATCAAACTTTTTTTTTTGAAGCCTGGCACATTGTTTTCCATATATGTTTATATGTAATTCATAGTGTTTATCGTAGCAAATGAGTTCTGATTTGAAAATTTTATACTAAGCAAAAACCAATTGCACACATCTTTTAGTCTTTTCTTTTTTCTTTGGAAGGATGGTGATATAAAATTAAATGTATGCCTATTATTAGGGTGTTAGTGAAGCTGATATATTGTTACATTTACCAAAAATGCAAATTTCTGAGTGAGGAAAGCCTTATTCTACCTTTTGTAATTCTGTAATTAGTGCTACATCAGACACTTTTAGAAATGAAGTATCTATGACAAACAAAAGGTTTGGAAGTGTAAGCAAATTCTAATAATTTACAGTTCACAAATAAAAGAACTCATAGCCAATAGAAAGATAAATGTATGTGTAATGGAAAGCTGAATGCAGACACTTCATTCTGAACTTTTGATTTCTTACCAAAACAAAAAAATCCCCTATGTATATTAAATAAGAAATTAATTTAGGTTGCAAATTGGGGTGATGCTGTTTCTACAGACAATCACAGTAACACATACAGCAGGATTTTAAAGTGATGCATATCTTTTTTCTTTTTTATTTTCTTTTTTTTTAATTAGCTCTTCCTTCTAAGCTGGCTATTAAGGAAAGGAATTGCTGAAATACTGCTACATAAAGCAAAGCGACCTTTCAGCTAACTTGTTTATATTAATCTGTTCTGTTTACCTTTTGTTTGATCTCATCAGGCTGTTTCCTCTCACTCAACTTTATTTCTGTATTTTGACTATATATTCTTTACTTTGATACTAATTTCATAAAGTTATTAAATGTGGCTTGAATATTTGTTGAACTTCTTGAAGTCAAACTCCCAGGGTTTGTTTGGCCTTTTTTTTTTTTCTGAACTCTTTTATTATTTTTTTTCCTCCCATTTCGTTCATATTGCAAAATTATATCATTATCAGAAGGTTCTGGTGATAATTAACTGGAAGTGTTCAAAGTGGTGGCATTACTGGCCTCTGATATAAAGATATCAAGATCAGTATATCGGGATCATTCTGCCACAGCATAGACAAGTGTATTGCTCTTTAAATAAAATATGTACGATTTCGGTCCTTAAATACTTTGGGCCTGGTTTCAGGAAGCAACCAGCTAGAGTCACCTTTCCAAATTACACCCTCAGTGCAAACCAGTCCCTGTGTAGAACATTAATATTCTCTGCCATCATTTTCTGCTCTCCTCAACCACGGTATTCATTTCATATGCTCTGCTGACGTGGTAAATCCTCCAGTCAGTCTGCAGACTAATTCTGTAATTCAGTATTACCCTAAAACTGTAACACTTGCTACAGAGCATATCCCTGATTCTACCTTTTCATCTTTAGGTTCTTCACATTAATGGATTATCATTAACGTGATTAATGCATTAGTTTTAAGTCTTAAGGAATTACTGTTAATGAATGGAATCCTGTACGATGTGTTGGCTTTCATTACTGGCCTTCAGAGCATTGCGGTGAAGGTGGGGTGCTCTCTGGCTTTTGAAGAAACTTCCTGCCTGTTGACATTGGTGTTTGAAATCCTCATTAGAGAATATGCAGAACGCGAGTGTTTGCTCTGTATTCTCCGCGTACGCACTCTGAAGTTTAGCAAGAGTGCCGAGGGTGTTTCTCATGGAGCTGTGTTGGGGATTTTGTTTATTCTTTTTAATGTAGCAGAAAAGGACTTTGGCTTTCGTAAACTGTACCTACTCAGTGACATTAGAAACTTAAAATAAATTTTCAATTACAGTAATATTTCTACTAAAAAGTGACATGATTTCACTCTTCCATATGTGGGGAAAAACAAAATCACCATGACCCAGATTCACAGAAGGACTGAAGCACTTCATTATCCAAGCCTCATGACCAGACTTCCTAAACCATGCACAGGAAGATTAGGTGCCTTAAAATGAAGTCCACAACAAGCAAAAAAATTACATAAGTAGGTCTCCAAACAAAGCAAAGCAAAAAACCCGCATGTGGAGAGTCACTACCAGGCAGAAACAGACACTGGTTAGAGCGGTTGGTAAGAGATGCTGAAGATGGAGATGCCCTGTGTGTGCCATTCCTCCCTGGGGCTAAGGCTTCCTGCGCTCCGCTGGCCCCGCGTGCCTCCCTCCGCTCAGGGCTCACAGCACTGAGACCAGACATCAAGGTAAGCACCGACTCCTTTCTTCCAACAAGTGTCAAAGCACAGGATACTTTATTTCAAAACAGTGATGGTGGCCTCTTCCTGAGTCTCCTCTGCAGTTTTCACTGAATTTTACTTAATACTGAAATTTTCCCATATTATGAGTCATACAAGCCCCTGTGTCAGACATTTCTGAAGACTATTGCACCACCACCACAGTACAGGCTACTCTCCGTGTCTGTACTCACTCTGCTGTCAAAGCTGTTTGACTGTCTGACAAAGTACAGAATTCCTTGAGGGAAGGTGCAAGCAGGAGCATCAGTCTTCAGGCTAGCAGGGGGAGTACTTGCCTGGGATGAGTTATCCAGCCCTTTCCAGTGACTGTTCATTGCAGTCATGGCTCTTTTCAGATAAATGCCCTGGGAGGAGAGACTGCATGTTGATTCTGCACCCTAGATAAATTTTCTTATTCTGCTTCCATAGAAGAGAATGCAACAGCAGTAGCCTTAATTATTTTAAAAATTATTTTGAAAGAAAGCAGAAATTACTATATACTGTATACAGCATGACCCATTGTTCACTATTGGAAACTATTTCCTCACAGATGACAGAGATGGAGGAATACTCAATTTAGCACTAAACTTGTCAGGATCCATCAGTTTTATACTCAATTTAATCTGGTATAGACCTGCAGTGCTGCCAGAAGAGCAGCCTCTGCCCCTATCCTGCACTGGGACTAGGCAAACTAATCTAGTTAAAAATTAACCATTTTTTTCCTGGAGTAGTTTTCAGACTGATCCAGCTTGCTCAGAGGCTGTATGTACCCAGCACCGACAACAAGCAGAAGGTGGAGCATGCAGGGGATGAGTAACTGAAGATGAGAGAGGAAGGCAGGGCTGCTCCTTCTGACTGATTTATGTGGCAGCATATTATATATGCTTCTCAAAATATTTTTTAATGCCTTGTTATTACCTTTAAATTTTACATTCAGTTTTGAGTTTCAAGCAGATTACACAAGTGGTATTAAAAAGTTTTGCTATCTGAAGTTTCCATAAGTTTTGTGAAAGCTGGCAGCCCAGAATTCAAGAAATAGGAAGCCAGGCAGGAGGTACCGTGAGTGTGTGCAGTGAGGGCAAGGCTCACTCTAGATCTAATTCTTACAGACAGACCTGAGAGAGAGCAGCCTGAGTACCCCACCTGCATGAAAAAAGTTTCAGTGGGATTTAATGTCTCATGAGATACCAGAGAATTTGCTCCTTAGTCAGGACTTTTCTCTGTGGATTCTTTTATGTGTAATAAAGACTGAAGTCATACTGCAGCCTTAATATAATTCAATTAAAACGTCGCTCAGCTGCTGGTTGGAGAAGTAGGCTTCATTAGTTCCTGTGCTCACAAAACTACTGGTTAACATGATCATTATTTTGTACCTGCTACCAGTGAGTTTCATGTACTGTTTTTCCACCTCCGTGTTGCGAGCCTTCCACAGTTCTGTGCTATTCACTTTCCA